TCGCAGATGCCAGCGCCATGACCAGCGCAACCCGCCTTTTGCAAGTGCGCGGCGGGCCAGGTACGGGAAAAACAGAAGTGGTCATTGCAGCGGCAGCCAAAGCCCTGGAAGATGGATGTCGCGTGTTGATCGCTGGGCCTATAGGATTGCTGGTCTCCATGTACCGAATGCGGCTGCCCAGCACGCCCGACCTGACCATGGAGACCATACACTCCGCCTTCAGAATCGTCAGGGACGCGGATGCGGCCTACATCCCGCCGGGAAGATTGCGAGCATATGACCTCATCATCTTCGACGAGGTGAGCCAGATAGACGCCGCCACATGGTTGAAGCTCAAGACCGCACTGAGCGAGCTGTGCCCCTGTCCCTTCATCGTGTTCGTGGGCGACTTCCAGCAACTCCAGCCTGTCAGCGGGCCACCAATTTTGCTGCAAGACCTGACGCGGGAAGTCCAGCTCGGAACGGTGGCGCTTGTGGAGCTACAGCACCACGAAGCAGCTCGATCAGTGGACGCCAGCATGCTCGACTTCTTGGAAACGGCACGTGTGCGACAGCCATCGCGATCTATGCTGGAGGCGTTTTTCCAGGATCGCATATGGAAAGCCCGACCATGCGAGGCCGCGGCAGCCGCTCGTCGTCTCGAGCTGGCACAAGGCGAAACCTTTACCTTCCTGACCGTGACCAACAAGGGAGCTGCCGACCTCAACCTTGCCAGGCTGGCGTTGGAATTTCCGACCGAAGCGAGCATCATCGCAGCCGGAGGCGGCATACCTGCCGACACGGGAACGGTAGCGCTATCCGTTGGCATGAGATTGAGGCTAACCCATAACATCGACAAAGACCGTGGCTTCGTGAACGGAAACACCGGAACAATCCGCACCATGCTTCGGCGCGATGTATGTGTTCTACAAACCGAGCAAGGTCTTTCGGTCCTGGTGCATCCCATCACCTTCGGGGGCCGCAAGTTTATGCCCGTAGCCTATGGGTATGCCACCACCATGCGCCGAGCACAGGGCTCCACCTTGAACAAGATCGGCCTTCTCTTTGATCGTCGACTCTCGGACAGAGGCTACGCCTACGTTGGCGTCTCCCGCGCCAAAAAGCGCTGTGACGTGTTCTTACTCGGATCCATCAGACGCACTGACTGGCGACCAGTTGGCGGAGACTCGGACCCCAACGAGCAGAATGAGCTGTCTGCTCTCAGCGAGACCTCGGAGACGGACCGAGACTCCTCGTCGTCGACCTCCGACCAGGAGCCGCGCTCGTCCGACTTCGAGTCCAACGAAGAGCCGAACTCGTCCGACTTTGAGTACGCGTCTTCAGACACGTCAGCTGCATCGGCTACCCAGGACTGAGATCGCATGGCAGAGTGCATCTTTCCTTTGTGGATCTGAAAACGCCTTGTACAGTCAAGACAGTGTCGTTGCGTGGGTAGGATCAACAAACTGCGGTTGCGTGTGTAAGACACGGCCGCGAAGTCCAGTTTCATCAGCACGTCTTTGACAAAACAGCTCAGACAAGAAAAAGACCTAGCACAAGCCTACCATGTAGCGCACGAAGCCCTGAATATGCCTAAGCTGCGCACAGAGCTCTGAATACTGCCTTAGCTGCAGGCCTACGCTGTTGCCCTTCCTGCCAAGAGCTTAGATGCCTGACGCTCGTGTGTTGTGCCACTCACATCTGGTTATGCCTGTGCTGATTGCAAGAACAATTGCTGAACAAAAATCGCTTAACTTTCCCCAACCCACCCTCGATCCTTTCACACAGACATGCAACATTCCCGCCGCATACCCGAGGCCTGTGCTCTCGCCGTTCACGAGGACTTAGATGCTTGACGCTCGTGTGTTCTGCCACTCATGCCAGATTATGGCCATGCTAACAGCAAGCTGAATTACTGCACATGGAATCTCTCATGGCTAAACTCTCCCCAACCCACCCTTGATCCATTCACGCAGACTTGCGATAACCCTAGAACCCCAGAGCCAGGACCCTAGAGCCGGAACCCTATAACCAGCACCCTACAACCAGAACCCTACAGCCAGAACTCTAGAGCTATAGAGCCAGAACCCTATAACCAGAACTTTAGAGCCAGAACCCTAGACAGAACCCTAGAGCCAGAACCCTATAAACAGAAGCCTAGGCCAGAACCCTAGAGCCAGAACCCTATAACCAGAACCCTAGGGCCAGAACCCTATAACCAGAACCCTAGAGCCAGAACCCTATACCCAGAACCCTAAAAGGAAGCGGGCCACTGGACACGGGCCAAGGCCCAGTAAGCAGTAAGCAGGCGGGCCAATGCCCAGTAAGGAAGCGGGCCAATGCCCAGTAAGGAGGCAGGCCTGCCCAGTAAGGAGGCGGGCCAATGCCCAGTAGGGAGGCGGGCCAATGCCCAGTAAGGAGGCGGGCCAATGCCCAGTAAGGA